GTCTGAGAGTGCAAGTGTCTGAGAATACAAGTCTGAGAGTGCAAGTGTCTGAGAGTGCAAGTCTGAGAATACAAGTCTGAGAGTGCAAGTGTCTGAGAGTGCAAGTCTGAGAATACAAGTCTGAGAGTGCAAGTGTCTGAGAGTGCAAGTCTGAGAATACAAGTCTGAGAGTGCAAGTGTCTGAGAGTGCAAGTCTGAGAATACAAGTCTGAGAGTGCAAGTGTCTGAGAGTGCAAGTCTGAGAATACAAGTCTGAGAGTGCAAGTGTCTGAGAGTGCAAGTCTGAGAATACAAGTCTGAGAGTGCAAGTGTCTGAGAGTGCAAGTCTGAGAATACAAGTCTGAGAGTGCAAGTGTCTGAGAGTGCAAGTCTGAGAATACACGTCTGAGAGTGCAAGTCTGAGAGTGCAAGTGTCTGAGAATGCAAGTCTGAGAGTGCAAGTGTTTGAGAGTGCAAGTCTGAGAATGCAAGCGCCAGGCTGCAGCCAGACCCTTTTGGTCATATCTTGATTTCTTAAATCAGGGGCGTTAGAATTCACTGAAAAAGTTTTTGTTCTGGTATTGTGTTCAGCACGAATCATCTCATTAGAACAATGTGTTGATGCATTGTGCAATGTGGAGAACTTTATTGATAATAATGTATCTTTGTGAGATCGCGATGAACTATGAATGGAGTGCTCTTTGCGCTATAGTAACTGACGCCAATATATATATATATAGTTACAGCACCCTCACTAATTTAAGAAGCACCCTCAGTGATTTGGTTCTGGAGCCGGGCCTGAATGTCATGGTTATGAGGTCATTTCAAAGTCATCCTGACTGTGCATTAAAGATTCCTCTATTTCTAAATAGCAACAAATAAGAAAATCATTAAAATTTTCTCTGATATTGCTACAAATAGCAACAAAGAAGAAAATAAAATCATTCAAAATATATCTGATATTACTACAAATAACAACAAATAAGAAAATAAAATACATTTTCATCCACAGACTAACAATGTTCAAGTTTACCACTCACAGTGTGTATTCACACCAGGAAAGTCTGCTAGTTCACTTGCTTTTGTCCGGACCAAATACAATGTTGATTGTATTTTTTTATTTATTTTTTGTGTGTGTGTGGTTAACTTTCACACTGCCCTTTTTGCAAGTGAACCAGAAATTGTAAACAAAACCACTCATGTGCTTAAGGTCATCCATTCATTGGTTCATCCATTCAACTGTACCAGAGTTCGTTTGGAACCGGACCGAGACCACCTCTTCAGCTGGGTCTCGGTACAGTTGTTTGGTGTGATTGCTGTATTCTCACCCTCCCAAAAGATCCGCAGCAACTTGAGTTCGATTCAATCGAACCAGACAAGACAGGTGTGAATACTTAAATTCATAATATTTGAATGTCTGTTGTATGAAATTCACAACAATCCTGAAAATTGGAACATTTAACATTAAGAATAAATCTGCACTGGATGTCAGATAAACCCTGCATACTGTACAGCTCCTGGGATTGAGGACCCTTAGCCCTGCACAATTTATGACCTGATTACATCCACAATGTGTGGTGCCAGGGTACCGGGGGCAAAACCTCCTCTCCTAGAAGATTGTTTATAACGTTAAGGACAAATGTTTTGTTATTAATATTTAATGCAGATAATACATTTTAAATATTGAAAGTCCAAGGTAAACAATATTCATTGTGCAGGTGAGACATACTGTACCTCACCCATAAATATCAGTACAGAGGTTATATGAATCTGCTACGTCATTTATGTCAATAAAGTTGTTGTTATGCAAGTGTTCATTGTCATCACTACAATAAAAGCAAGCTCTGTTCTCTCTCAGAACAACTTCCAGTTTGAAGAGCTCTGCCTGTGCAGCTTCTGACATACAATCATGGTTAAGGCAAAGACGTGGATCCTCAAAAAACACTTTGAGGGCTTTCCTAAGGAAAGTAACTTTGAACTGAGAGAAGAAGTTCTGCCAGAGCTTCAAGATGGAGGTATGGATAATATATATATTTGTATTTTTGTATACCTTCGCTATGCCTCACTGATTTATCGTAATAATTTTTGCTTCAGACGGGCTTGTGGAGGCAGTCTATTTAAGTGTTGATCCATGAGGTAAAGTTGTCTCAGTCTTATTAGAAGAGCATCTCTCTATTTAATGGAATTCTATGTGGTGTGTCTAGCCAATATTTTAAATGCCTCCTGTTGTTTTTGTAGATCTCTTGAGTAAAATGTGGATAAAAGAGGGGAACTGAGCTGGCAAAGTAAGGAAACTAACAATTATTACTATGTATATTGTAATGTATAATACTGTTACATTTTATTTACACTTTTATGCTGTAGATTCATTTTACTTAGCAGAACATTTACAGAAACAAAAAGCATGCTCAGTGGTGAAAAGGGAAATAAATCTTATCCAAGTAATCATAGATTGTTGAATAATTTGAATATGGTATCAGAAAATGTCTAGGCAACTGAATCTGTTGCTCAAGCGGTTCAGCTACTCATCAATGTGGTTTAAGTTGCATCAACTGATGAACACACTTCCACTTAAATGAGTGGAAAAACATCTTGAGCAACAGAGAAACACAGTTTACACAGAATAATTTACATGTTTATGCAATTGCATTAGTAAGTTAAGTTGCATCTACGTGAGGAAACAGGTCTGTTCATAACCAAAAACATTTCATATCACTAAATAAATATCTTAACTCATGTCTGGCAGGGTAGTGAAGAGCAAGGACCCAGCATTTCCTGAGGGATGTTACGTGGTTGCTAATTGTGGATGGAGGACACACACTGTAACCAAAGCAAAGGCTTGGCCCGGATAGTATCCGAATGGCCCAGTGATATTTCAATGTCCCTGGCTCTTGGTTCCTTGGGGATGCCTGGGTAATGTAATCACGAGTTCACGACTGCTATAAATGATGGCAGTGGCAATTCTTTTTTTTAATGTTATGTTTTCTAAATCCCGTCTCTTTTATCCTCTAGTTTAACTGCTCTGTATGGTCTGTAAGAGGTGTGTAAGATACAGCCCGTGAGACGATTCTGGTGAGCGCAGCAGCAGGTGCTGTAGGTGCGATGGTGGGGCAAATCTGCAAGATCAAAGGCTGCAAGGTTGTGGGTTCAGCAGGAGGTGATGACAAGGTGGCATACCTAAAAGAGCTGGGCTTTGACCAGGCCTTCAACTACAAGACTGTCTCTTCACTAGAGGAAGCGCTGAAGAACGCTTCACCTGAAGGATACGACTGCTACTTTGAGAATGTAATTGACTTTATATGTGTATTTTTGTCTAAAATACAGTCTGCTAATCTTTTACTTCATGTTCTTTAGGTGGGAGTTCCCTTCTTTACCGAAGCACTCAAAAACATGAAGCCAGGAGGTCGTACCGCTGTTTGCGGTGCAAGAGCCAATTACAATGACACAACACCACAGATGTGTAGGTCTCATTTCTACTGAGCCCCTTCAAGGGGAAAAAGTCACATTTTAATATTAGAAGATATTAGAGAAAATAAAATAAATAAATGCTTTTAAATTGTTACACTTTACAACCACTAGGACAGTATAGTTTATGGAAAATCTAAGCAATCTAACATTAAGCTATTGAATCTGTTCTGTCTCACAGGTACTTATCCTCACCACGAAATAATTACACGGCAACTGAAGATAGAAGGCTTTATGGTGAGATCTTGGCAACACAAAGATGCAGAATATATCAAGAGAATGCTTAAATGGATGGAAGAGGTAAGCTGCTTTAGAAATGAATCATTCGGAACATAATCGTTACACCTATCGTTACACCCTTCATTAGATAATTGCCATTACACAGCATATAACAACACCAGCCTGTGAATGAGAAAGTGAACTGGTTTGTAGACACATTGAATTGTTTTCCTGCAGGGCAAACTGAAGGCGAAGGAAGTGGACACAGTTGGCTTTGAGAACATGCCTGCTGCCTTCATAAAGATGCTGAAGGGCGATGGGCTTGGGAAGGCTATTGTTAAAGTCTGAAGCTTTAACAATAATGTCGCATACCTAAAAGAGCTGGGCTTTGACCAGGCCTTCAACTACAAGACTGTCTCTTCACTAGAGGAAGCGCTGAAGAACGCTTCACCTGAAGGATACGACTGCTACTTTGAGAATGTAATTGACTTTATATGTGTATTTTTGTCTAAAATACAGTCTGCTAATCTTTTACTTCATGTTCTTTAGGTGGGAGTTCCCTTCTTTACCGAAGCACTCAAAAACATGAAGCCAGGAGGTCGTACCGCTGTTTGCGGTGCAAGAGCCAATTACAATGACACAACACCACAGATGTGTAGGTCTCATTTCTACTGAGCCCCTTCAAGGGGAAAAAGTCACATTTTAATATTAGAAGATATTAGAGAAAATAAAATAAATAAATGCTTTTAAATTGTTACACTTTACAACCACTAGGACAGTATAGTTTATGGAAAATCTAAGCAATCTAACATTAAGCTATTGAATCTGTTCTGTCTCACAGGTACTTATCCTCACCACGAAATAATTACACGGCAACTGAAGATAGAAGGCTTTATGGTGAGATCTTGGCAACACAAAGATGCAGAATATATCAAGAGAATGCTTAAATGGATGGAAGAGGTAAGCTGCTTTAGAAATGAATCATTCGGAACATAATCGTTACACCTATCGTTACACCCTTCATTAGATAATTGCCATTACACAGCATATAACAACACCAGCCTGTGAATGAGAAAGTGAACTGGTTTGTAGACACATTGAATTGTTTTCCTGCAGGGCAAACTGAAGGCGAAGGAAGTGGACACAGTTGGCTTTGAGAACATGCCTGCTGCCTTCATAAAGATGCTGAAGGGCGATGGGCTTGGGAAGGCTATTGTTAAAGTCTGAAGCTTTAACAATAATGTCACTAATGTCCCCCCCCACCCCCCCAAATGTCACTATTTTAACTGTCTTTCACTTCAATATGTTTACAAATAAAACCACATAAGCCTCATATTTATGTTGTATATGGCCATACCTTCCCATATCTTCCTTGTCTGATTAATAATGTTCATAATTTCTGTTATTTTTTTAGTCATTTTTTGTCATTCTTCTGGGTTCTAGAATTAAACAAATTTAAAAAGCAAAAAGATTTTTTTGCTGCGCCACAAACAATTCTAAAGAAACGCATAGAATCTTCTTAAATGGCCAAAGAAGAAGAGATGATTCAGAATATGTCAGCTGTTGTCACCACTCCAACATGCAGATATGTCTTCACAGGATTCAGTTAGTTCTAATGAAACTGTAACCAGACAAGTTTCATCACATTACATTTACATGTTCTTGTTGTTGAGGCTAAACCTCTAAATCTATTTCATGATTCCAAGTGTCTCTGTACTTGAAGATTGTGAAGTAGACACAAATGTTTGTTCATGAGCAGACATCTTCAGTTAGATTAGTGTCTAGCACAAAATAATATAAACCGAATGCTTAACACAGAAAAGTAAAGTAGCCTACATTAAAGGGGTCATATGATGCGATTTCAAGTTTTCCTTTCTCTTTGGAGTGTTACAAGCTGATTGTGCATAGATAAGATCCCTGAAGTTGCAAAGACTGAAGTCTCAAAACCAAAGAGATATTCTTTAGCAAAGTTAAGACTCTGCCACGCCCCCCTAAAACGGCTCGTTCTAACACGCCATATCTTAACATATCTTAAGTATTTGCTATTGACTGTTCAAATGCGGAGTTTTGCGCATCATGTGTGTTTGTGTGTGTGTGTGTGTGTGTGTGTGTGTGTGCGTGCGTGCGAGTGAGAGAGAGAGAGACAGCGTCACATCACATCACAGCATCACAGGCTGTCTTAAC